AGAGAGAGAGAGAGAGAGAGGGAGAGAGAGACTGAGAAAGCACGCACACGTCAAAGTAGCAGTACGGTCCACAAATGCGAACGCGGCCCACGCACACCAATGCGGGGAGATGCAGATACGTCGTCTCCCGGGGTTCTTGACCCGCGCAACACAGATAATACCATACGCATACGTCATACGGTACGCCGGGAAGATGTTACCAAGAAAATATCGCGCCGTGTTTCTGCGACGGCATGGGCCGCGTCGTCTCGATAGGATGAGGGGAAAAAGAGAGAAAGGAGAGCGTGAGAGTGCACGAGAGCTAGAGAGCGCGGGTGCGTATGTGTGTGAGAGAGAGAGAGAAAGAGAAGGGAAAAATCGCATCGTATCTCCCGAGATAGCGGAACTTTGAGATCGCGTTAGCAAGTCCCGGCATCGGCAATTTGTAATCAGCGAGGCTATAAATATCACTTGTGAGAAGAACGAAAAGAGCCAAAAGAATCTTAGTATGGTATAGACATGGCGCACCCGAGGACACTTTCGATACTTTCGTAGGGATCCCACTTTGCATCGTCAAATCGTTGTCGCCAGTACCGATAGTAATTTACACCTGATCGGGCCACGATCGAGCGACTCTGTAGCCATCTCGTGCCCACACGAGATAAAAATACTCGCTCCGTCACGCCGTTCCCGGCTTGTCACCGCCATGACGGAACGCGGTTTGCTTTTATATTCGAAGTAGCAGTCGCGAACTACCGTCCGGCGAAAAGAAGCTTTGTAGTAGAGACGGTTAGTAGCGCCAAAATGACAACGAGGATCAGGGACTAACATGAGCTGTCCTATCTTGCCTGATAGTCTCGTGCCTCTGCGGCGGGGCTTGGAGGTGCAGTAGGTGCCGGCGGTGGTGGAGGAATGGGCAACATCAGCGAACGCACCCTCGAGGAATGCTGGTCCACCCTGCAGCGAGTGAGTTGAACACTCAGTCCGTTCACGGAATCCCTTTTATTAACGCTGTCCTTTGCCCGTGCGCGTGTCCCTACCTTAAGTCCCTCGCTTTCTCTCACCGACGGCCGAGGTTCTGCGCCGTTCTTTTTTTTTCTCCTTTTACACTTCATTTAACTTGTCGATCCTGCACGTCGCAGACGCGCTGCGTCTCGTCTCGCTCATTGACACCATTTTTTTTCTTTCGTTTATCGACATTCAGCGCCATTCAGTTCGCTATATTCCGCCCGATTATGATTTCGCTTCCGCGCGAGCTCCTCTGGAACGTCTCGCGATCGTTCTTATCTCGTTTGCATCTCGTTCGCTTTGCTCGTTTATTCTGTTCGTCAGTTTGATGTTATCCTATTGTTTTTTTTTATCTCTTTACCCACTGGCATGTGTCGTATATGTATCGCCGTTCGTTTTGTACCTCATCGGCTGAATGTGTCGCCTTGTTCCTGTGCATTGTGTAATAGTCTTACTTACTCGTAACTGACCGCCAGCGGCGGTTCGAACGATCCTCGTTCTCGCTCGCGCTCGTGCTAACGAGCGCGTCGTTACATCACACCAGAGATTTAACGGATGACACGTGGTATGCGGCGAAATGTGCGTCTACACCGTAAAGCTTATTGTTAGCGCCCGTGTCGCGCGCGCGCGCGCGCGCGACGCATAGTAAAAGTACATAAACCGGTAAGCGGCAATTTTTCGACCGACCGATCAATTACGCTGATCAGCTTGCACGATGATCGTCGACGCGTGACGCATATCGGGGGATTTTCCTGCGCGAACTTTGCGCCAGCGTCTCGAGTGCGAAAATACGGGAAAAGAAAGCGGCACTAACGAGCCCCGAATTACGTTAAACTGTCGACTTACGAACGGAGCGGGAGGTGCCGGCGAGAGGGAGAGAGTGCAGCGCGGTAAAAAGGCGGGATACTCTCCCCTACCTGCTGGAAACTTTAAAATTCTCAACCCCAGGACGAAACAACAATTTGTTTCGTTAAGTAGCCGCAGCGCTCTTTTGTTTTTGCGGCTTCTTTTATTTTAGCGGCGATAGCGACGGCGGTCGGAGTGACGGCGGAAAAGGTAACGGGAGGGGGTGGAGGCGCCGGGGGATGCCAAAGGGGGTTGCTCGGGCACGTCGTTCTCCCGCCGTGTTCCACCTCGTCCTTCCTTTTCTTCCATCGCCACCTTAAAAGCCGTCCCGCGCCGCGCGCGCGCGCGCGCGAAGCGAAACTTTCGGAAAATCGCAAAAACGCCGAGCGATGGCGAAGTTTCCACGTTTCCCCGAGATTTAATTAAAACATTCGCCTCCTTTGTGCCGTCCCCACGCACCGTTCGCGGACCGAGCCGTCGAAGCGAACCATCGTTCTTTCATTATGCCCAGGCGACAGGGACTGATACGAGTGTGCCTTCGATAGGCCGAGCTCCTGATTCCTAACTCTTAAAACTCGCGGTTCGTTATTCCACGGATTTTCCCCAAATCGAAAAAGATCGCCGCGCACATAGCGGCTGCGTTCAGCAGAAAAGAACCGCTTTCCAACTGTCGCAAAATTCATAAATTTGATTCGAGTGTGCTCTTAGACTCTGCTACAATTAACAGCGTATGCCAATCGGATTCGAGATTTTTACGACAATCGCGAAGCGGCTTTTTCTACGCTGACGATGACATCGATTCAAAATCGTACTACGACAGGCTGACGCAGCCCCGCGGAGAAAGAACTGCGTACTTAAATTAAAATCTATCGATCGCCAAATCTTTCATCAAACTTAGATCAACTGCACTGTTTCATTAAGGGATTGATAAGAATAATACCAGCGAACGCGATCACAGTTGTCGTGTCTGACAATGACGCTGATAAAAAAAAATTCGAAACACTTGAGAATTTATTGTGGAGCCCGTGGGAAAGATGAAGGGGAAACAGTAGAGAGGATGAGACGAGTGCTCGACGATATTACATAAACATTCGCGGAGAACCGTTCTCAGGACTGGGGGTGCACCCGCGTTTTTTTTGTTCTACCTCGCGCTACCTCGAAAATTAAAATCCAATTATTTCGACGCCTCTGCCCGACCCGGGTCGGCCGATTCAAATGAATTTTTTGCCCGCGCTTCTCCCCAATTCGCTCTTTCAACGCGCGTTAAACCGGTTCGTTCGGCGCAACGATCCATTGCCAAGTTGCATCCAGACCACGGATCCACCCTTGATCGATCCGGGACTACGATTTCGGATCGAGCTGACAGCTGCGAGGAGAAACCAGAACCGTAAGGAAGGAAGGGGAGAAAGTGGGCAGAAGAAAGGAAAATCCGAAGGAGAGACCGAGCTGCTTTCCAACGAATGTAAATTATTGTGACGCATTGTCTCATTGTCTCAGCGTGTACGCGGATCGGTCGACGTAACGAGCGTTTTTACATCGATCTTCGTACGCGAGCCGAGACATTTTTGAAAATAACACACTATACCCAGACACTGGGTTGAAGAGAAAACCAGAAAAGACTAACGATAGAAATTTAATAACTTACTTTCGATCGCTGCAGGATCGGCCGATTTCTAATTATTTTAAGGCATAACGGAGAAAAATAATAAAATGCCGGAGCACGAAGCGTGACGACAGTCGCAAAGTATATGATTTAATGTCCAAGAGCGACGCGATGCGAAACGATCGAATAATGACTGCGCTCCTCTCTCGCTCCTCTCGCCGCGATAACAAAAAGGGGGGGGAAAGAAGCCGAAAAGAAACGCGCATTACCTATCTGCCGGCGCGGATACATCTCGCTCCGGCATGCAAATCCCGAGGAGTCTTTCTCACGTTGCGTCCCTCGGAGGAGCGCGAGCCTTTTTTTTCCCTCCTCATGCGCCCGGAAGGTTCCCGTGTACTATTTAAATAACGGTTCTCGCGCGCGTGTCATTGTTTCACCGTTCTTTCTCTCCCGGCGAGTAACCCTTTCGGTTAGCGGGGAAAGGCAGAGGGAGGTGGAGCGGGGTCGTTCTGTTTCGAGTCGAGGAAGAGAACCGAAAGGGCGGATGGCGGGAGGGGAAGGAAGGGGGTCAAGTTCCGTGCCGGATAGCCGTTACGGGCAGAGACAGAATTACGACGTCTCAAGACGGCGGGGCGCTCTGCCCTCCCCTGCCTCCTTCTATCCCTTTTCGCCCGGTCCCGGGCGGATCGTCACGGAGTTTCTTAGCTTTTCAGTAATTTTCTATGATTTTCGGATCGCATGATCGGCAACAATAACGCGCGCGCGTCCGCGCGCCGGCCTCTTCGGAATCGGCCTAATCGAATGCGTTCGACCGCCCGCGAAAGTCGGTGAAACTGTGCAAGAACGGCGGCGGGGGGGAGGGTGATAATGGCGCTGGGGATTCGTTTCGGAAATCTAATTTTCTCGGGGAAGACGAGAACGTTTCTTACGAATAAAACGTTGTCCTATAAAAGTAACCGGAATAACCTCGGGACGGCGTATCGCGGTTGCAGCTAAATAAAACGCAAAGCCGGGCGAAGGGAGTGGGCGCGAGAAAAATGGAACCGCCCGCGATGCATTTATTAGCGTAATTAGTAAAAAGGGACCGGCGCGGCTACCGGAGCGCGATAATACCGGCGGCAGCGCTCACAAAAGACCCGGAATTTTCACATTGAAATGATGATACGCAGCCCCTAATGACTTTCCATTCCGCCTCCCCGAGTAATCGAAACCGTGTGGGTGCATTCCGCGGGCGGACTGCATCAAAGCGCGGCTACCGTTCGCAAATGACATGTCAAAACTGTGTGATCGGTACAAAGAGTCGTTTACGGACGGAGGAAGGTGGAGAACGCGCGCGCGCGCACACAGTTCTTTCCTCTCTCACTTTTCTCCCCCGTCCCCCCGTCTTTCGTATGCGGCTTCGCCGTGACCTACCCCAAACAAACCACGAGAAAAAGAGGGAAGAGAAGCGGCGCGGCGACTAGGCCGCGGGGGCGTCGAGGAGCGCGGGAGGGAACGCGCGGTGGAGAAAGAGAAAGAGAGAGAGAGAGAGAGAGAGGATGGAGGAGAGCCGCATTCGCGCCCACACACGCCCGGGAGGTTGCAACACGCGGATGGCAAGGAGCAGGGCCCTCCTCGCGCGAGAGAAGGAAGAGTGCGCGCGCGGAACGGGGAGGGGGGTACGCGGAACGGAGTTTATTCTTCGTGCTTTTTTTTATCGTTCGTTGACTCCGCGCTCCTCTGCAGCCGCGCGGTGAGAGCGCGGCGCGCTGCTCCACGATAAGATTGCACTCGCAGGGGCGGCCGGGCGAGAGAGAGAGAGGGACAGAGAGAACCTTGTTCCACGAGACGGAGAGCGAAATCCGCCCGCGCACCCGCCATGCGTACCCGCCGCTTATATTACGTTTCAGCGCGCGTATCGCGGAAATGTGCTCCGTCGCGGTGGGTTCGGGCCGTGGCGCGCGGGAAATCGAACGGCACGAGAACGGATTTCGTCGATTATCGCCTCCGACTTCGGCGAGAACTGGCGATAATACACGGGGCAGAGCGACACGGGGAGACACGTGTTGCGCGATTATCGCGCCCGGGACAGAAATACGCGGGCTATTCCAGAAGCGCGAACTCCTTTTTAACGACGTATGCATATATCAACAGCAGTCGTGGTATTTCCGTAATGATTACATGCATTACACGGCGAAGAAGACAAGAAAACAGAAGGGTGAGCGTCGCAAAACATCGGTTCGCCGATAATAGACGGGCGAAACTTTTCCGGTGGCCCACGCGAATATTTGTTGCGGGCAATTATGTCAATTAGCGGCACGTATTCGCGCGACGAACCAGCGAATTCGTTATTGAGCGGGGCATGCGAATCCGCGCGAAACTCGCCGCGAGCGAGTAAAGGCGACGACGAAACACACACACTTCGCCGAGGTGACTGACCTCAAAGTTTCCCATAATGCATGCACGATTATAGGGCAACGTTAGGGACCGCGCTGTTTTCGGCCTTGGCGCACACGGAGCGATATTACTCGATATACGTCACGACGAGCGTGTTACCGCCCGTCTATAAATTCGTCAACCGCGATTTGATAATACACGGCGCGGCGAGGGAAATGCGCGCGGGACTCGCAAATAAATCCGCGTTCGACCCGCGGTCTAATTTTAAATTGCGCGAAACAATCTCGTGGATCCCGTATCGCGGGTATTTCGCGGTGAAGTTGTACGGGAGCGTCTAAATGGTTTCTTGCCGCGTCTGCACGGCGACGTTACTCGACAACGGTATTTCGAACCCGTCGAACCGAAAGGATCGGGATCGCTGACGTCGACGTAAGATAATAACGACGCTACCGAGACAAAGAAAAATCATCCGTG